ACATTTCATTACACCAAATACACAAAATAATGTTCTTTTTAGCAGCATCATATGACCCCTTTAACTCAAAAAATGCTAAGAATCAGAACTTGAAATTATCCCTAATTATTATTTATTTAAGATTTCTATGACCTTGGAACGCACTCTTATGAAAAACAACCATGGTATTACTATAATGCAACTATAAAACATGGCAAATTGGTTATCATTTGAAAATATAATGTTTTTAAAAATAGTTAAATGAACGTAAAATAATGGCATATCTGTGGTAACAGAAATAACTTACTAAAATAGCATAGTAAATCTACGGTAACCTACCTTTATATTCGGTTTTGTGTTTAGTCTCGTTGGCGGCGTTGATAACGTGCTCCTCCGCCTCTTTTCCCGGTTTCCTCCCCCTCCCCCTCCTCCCCGTGAGCAGGCCGCGTCACCGGCGCTCGATTCAGCGTCTCCACGGGAATCACAAACCTCACTCACTCACAAACCGGCCTCTTAATCGCACGCCACGCGGTGCCGGAAATTTAGCACGTTAGCATAATCTTTTCCTCGTGTAAACCCGTTAAATTATATGCCCACATACAATTTAAGTTTATCAGTGTTTTCGCCATATTTTTTGGTAAAAAAAAAAAAAAAAACATAAATTACAACACATAACGTTAGATATCTCGTAAAAAAATCAGTAACTACATTTCAGATATTTCACTAAGGATTAAACTGCGATGTCTTCTTTTGATTACTGAATTATCGAGATAATGTGAAAAAACCTGTCTAATTACCTGTAACAATTGATTAATCCGTCGAGGGTGAAGATTGATTGACGTTGATTAACGGTGATTAACGTTGGTTTGGTCAGGTGATTTTGCGCATGAGCACTGAGCAGTCGGTAAAGTGTGTGTATCGCATGGGTGTGTTTAGAGGTGCAGTTCCGCGACCAGACTACAGGGGCGCTGTAAAGCAGCGCTGCCTGCCACACACACTCACACCATAGACTGTAAAAAAAACACACACAGAATAATGAGTTGAATCAGGTGTGTCTGATTAGGGAGACACACAAAATGTGCAGTGCTGGGGGGTGCCCAGGATCCAACCGTGCCCCCTGGATCTTTGTTCTGCAGTGAGGGGCTGCTGGGGACAGAAATCCGGTTTTTGCTCATGGAGGGGATTCAGAAAAAACGAGAAGGGTCTGGCTGCAGCTGGCACTTGCACTCTCAGTAATTTAGTTTCTTTTTTCTTGTCTTCACCACCTGGCTATACTGTTGTAACATGTTGAGAGATTCAAACAAAAAGTAATCAATAAATAGAACAAAATAAAAAATAATAAAGACTGCAAGTGACGTCGCTAGCGGAAGTGCAAGTGTCTGAGAGTGCAAGCCTGAGAATGCACGTCTGATAGTGCAAGCGCCAGCTGCAGCCAGACCCTTTTGGAAAAAACTGCACTAGGCATATCAGCAACGCCTCCTGAGCCTATTAACAGCAAAACATTGTGGGGACCGGGGATTTGGTCCCCACTATGTGAGTGTGCTAACATGTTGAGGACCCCACCATGTAATAAACACACACACACAAAAGATTCCTACAGATGCGGCATTAAAATTGTAGCCTCAGGTAGCCTATTGCAGGAGTATAATAGTATTTTTGGTTGGAAAATTTTCTGGTACCTGGCAACCCTGCTCACTAGGGTGGAGCTCCTTCGAACTTTTCTCTTTGGGAACGTTGTGTTTCTGCTGTTCGTTCTGTTCTGAAGAAAAAAAGGTAAACTAGCCAATAAATTAAGTTTACGTTTTTTTTTTTAATGAGGACCGATTCTTACTTTTTTGTTTGCAGTATTCCTCTGTTTGGCTGTCTTTGTGTGACATCAGCTAATAAAGGTAAGATCTAAACTCTTTGAAAAGTGTTCGTAGTAAATTAGGTCTTTATGGAATTAGCCTTCGAGGTCGAAAAATCTGAACACCATTACAAAGAATTAGAGGACTGAACAGATTCTAATGAGTATAGAGCTGCAGTGTAGAGTTAACTTGATTTCTGGGCTGGCCTAGCGGCTGCTATTGTGTTACCGCCGTAGAAATCAATAAGAACATAAAACGGAGATTAAATAATCTTTATAAATAAACAAAGCTAATCTACATTCATGCGAAAATGTCAAATGAAAGTTGGTCAAATAAGTATATTATAAATGTGCTCTGAAACAGTTTATAAGGCTGAATTCGGAATAACATACTTGCAATTGCTCAATTTCTGCAATTTAAAGAGTTTTATGGGAGTTTCCATATTCAGCATGGCTTTGCGCTGCCTTGGGGTAGCGATCAAGATGTGTCATAATGAACATGTTCAGACAGGTGAGTGACCAGTCAGTTGTGTGTCACATATTACTTCATTTAGTGAGCATTATTATTAGTTATTATGAATGTTACGACTGTGAAAACGAGTATTTATTTCGAAATTAATGTAATCAATAAAGTATTATAGTACAGTTTTGGTCTTTCAGACATGTAGAATGGTATTAGCTGGAGCAGCATATAAATACCATTGTACTGCAATGTACCACCACAGTATTGTCTTGTAAGGGATATCTCAACTGTTTATAATTGGTGTGTGTGTGTGGTGTTTGTTTGTGTGTGTGTGTGTGTGTGTGTGTGTGTGTGTGTGTGTGTGTGTGTGTGTGTGTGTGTGTCAGTCATTGTTGTGAACATCTCTGTTTTTGAATGAGTGGCAGACAAACAAAGAGATCCAGACACATTCATCACTTGTGTGTCAAAGTATATATTTTAAAGGGGTCATATGATGTTGCTAAAAAGAACATTATTTTGTGTATTTGGTGTAATGAAATGTATTTATGCGGTTTAAAGTGGAAGTGAAGCAGTCAGTTAAGTTAATATTATTTAGTAAAGTGATTTCCACTTTGATTAAAAAATATATAACAAACATGATTAATGTAACCATTTTAAAGAAAAAAGGGCCATCGGAGCGAACCAACCCCGTGACGTCACACGCGGTGGTACAGCAAGATGGCGGCGCCCTTGCTCTAGAAGCTATAACAAAACATCCTTTTTTCTTTAAAATGGTTACATTAATCATGTTTGTTATATATTTTTTAATCAAAGTGGAAATCACTTTACTAAATAATGTAAACTTGACTGACTGAGCAGAGGTGGCGGGCTTGAGAACGGCGCGGCCGGCGGATTCGATGAAGGAGCGTCCGGCAGGCTTGCGGCAACCACATGTGACGACCCCGGGCTGGACTCCACTTTGTCCACGCTGAAAGCCGATCCGGCGATCCACAGCGCGAAGTTGATGTATTTCCTCCGCGACCAGCACGGATCAGCTCCAGGCATGACGAAGCGGATCATCCTCTTTTGGAAGGCCATCCAAAGTAGTTTCGCTTTCACAACGAAACACATCTCCTTCACGACATGGCGGTGGTGGCAACAACAATACTACAGCAGAATAAAAGTTATGCCTTCTTTCTTTGCGTGAACATTTGGGCGGCATTATGCAAATCTTCCCACATCGTGATGTACACGTGGGGGCGTGTTAGAACGAGCCGTTTTAGGTAGGCGTGGTTGACTCTTAACTTTTATAAAGAATATCTCTTTGGATTTGAGACTTTAGTCTTTGCAACTTTACAGATCTTCTTTATGCACCAAGAGCTTGTAACACTCCAAAGAGAAAGGAAAAATTAAAATCGCAACATATGACCCCTTTAACATAAGATTTGAAAAGACAAAAGCAAATACTATGCACATCCGCAAAACAACAGCATAGGCCTATTTAGCCCAACAAAATTGTTCAGTTGCTTTTAGTTCATGTCTGTGCATTTTCTTCATCAGATGAGAGAAAATAAAGAGAAGAACGAAACATGTGGGACCATTTTCCTAAAATACCTGCTCTTCACCTTCAATTTCCTGTTTTGGGTTGGTATCTGTTAGTCATCTGATGGACTGTTTAAAAGTGTATGTAAGCAAGGCATAATTCAAGTTTACTTTTTCATCTCAGTTCTTTTATCTTCACACATTCAGTGCAGTTTCAGTGTGAAACATGCATTAAGGGTGGATCAATAATTAATATTCACCTTTCAGACTTAATTTCCAAAATATTCAGTCTTTTATAAAATACTACCTTTAATATTCATCAGGCAATTTTCAGTCCATTTTATTTTGCTTTACAGATTCACTTCCACAAATTCAGTGGTTCAAGTTCAGCTGAATATTCAACATTGGAATTGCAGGAATAGCAGTAGAATACTAATAATACATATTCTCCATCTGCTGTTAGTCATCCTCACCAGCAGGAAGTGTAAAGTGGGTGTTGACGAAGACCAAACCAACAGGCAGAGCAAGTCATTGATTAATTCACAAAAACTGATTTGCAGAAATTGTGCAAGCAGTAAGTATATTTTATGTTCATCAGGGCCAGTATATGCGGAAAAGCTGATTAATGCACAAAAAATGGGATTTACATCAGTTTAAATCAGTGTTCCAGTGTTGGACAAAGCACACAAATCAAGTACTTGAGTAAAAGTACAGCTACCTAATAAAATATTACACCAGTAAAAGTGTTAAGCACTCATTTTCAATTTTACTTGAGTGAAAGTACAAACAAAATGTATGTTTAATGTACTTGAGTATTAAAAGTAAAAAGTACTGATCAATGAATGTTTATTTTGTAAATTTAGCAAGTGTGTGTGTAGACAAACAATATACTGTAAAAACAGGCGTCACAGGGCAAAATGTTGTTGCTAGAAGCGGTCTACATTTGGATTATGGTGCCGTTATCTTAGCAGTAGATAGCAGAGAAGATTTGTGAGACAAAAGACAACAGAACCCATTAAAATCAGTGATTCTGGATGTGGCGCAACATGACCCAAGAGTAAACTGATGCTCTGTTATGTATTCTAAGTGCTTAATCAGTTTTTCCTGAATGTGCAGTGTTGAATAGTCTGCCAGATTTGAACCAATGAATTTGTAAAGCAAAATAAAATGGACCAAAAATAGCCTGTTGAAAATTTTAGGTGGCACAGACTGAACAAACACTGTTAATGCAATGCATTTAAAAATAGTCTGTTCTGTTGAAAATAGTCCCCATGGCAACCCAATCTTAGAAGATTAAAAAAGGTCATAAAGGCCTCAAACAGCATGGTTTAATCCAAGACTTGTGAAGAGATCTGATTGCTTTATATGATGAACAGATTTAATTTAGAATTTATTTTCATCTAAACAATGATAGACTATATCCATGGCCAGAAGTATTGGCAGTGACAGTGAATTGTTTTGTTTCGCAAAGTTTGCTGCTTCAGTTGTTAATTCACATTGTTTATAGATTATTCTGCAGATTGATCAGATGCATTGCACAAAAAAAAAATAATAACAAAAATAATAATAATAATAATTACAAAATGCTTCATTGGGCAAAAAAATTACTTTTTCACATAAACACAAATTTTACTGTCTAAAAGGACAGCAAAGAAGTCACTTTTCTCAAAAAAAAAGAAAGAAAGAAAAGACAAAAGAAAGAAAGAAAGAAAATGTTCAAGGACAGACCGAAGTTCTGTAGGGAGAACAAGAATTGGATAGCAGAAGACTGGTGCAAAGTTATTTTCTCTGATGAATCCCCCTTCCAGCTGTTTGGGACATGTTAGATTTTGCTGTATTTGGCTGAGCAATCGTTTGGGTGGCTCGCCAATGTACTAGATTTATTTTGGGTGATATAGCTAAAAAATGTTTCATATCTTTCAATTTTTTTTTTAATTGAACCACTCTATTTTTAATTTGCCCAATTTATTAGGACAAACAACAACAACCTATTTTAGTCTTAACAGACAAAATAACAAATCAAAATAAAATTTAAACGTATCTCCTTTCTTATATTTTATATGTCGATTAAATAAGTGTTAAAGGGTTAGTTCACCCAAAAATGTGTGAGGGATGTTTAATTATGAATGCGCGCACTTTATTTCACGTCTTCTGAACTGTTGACAACCAACACCCGCTTACCCCCATTGTAAGGCTTGGAGGGGCCAGGACAATTTTTTATATAACTCTGATTGGATTCGTCTGAAAGAAAAAAGTTGCATACACCTAGGATGCTTTGAGGGTGAGTAAAACACAGGCTAATTTTCATTTTTGGGTGAACTAACCCTTTAATGAAACATTTGGCCTGTCTCCTGAGGGTGCAATGAGCAAAATAATGCACCTCATTAAATTGTTTATTCAATGCAATGAAATAACAGCAGTCTATAAAAAAGTGGGTCCCACTTTATATTAAGTGGCCCTAATACCTGTGTAATTACATAGTAACTAGATGTGTACGTAGTATGTAACCACAGTGTAAGTACGCATTGATACATAGTATCTAGAGCTGTAATATTTCTGTAATGAGTATCAGTATTGGATCCGTGAAATAGGTCTTGTGACAGCAGCCTAATAAAGCTGTGCCGCCTTTTATTAATGTTAATCAAACAACAAGAGACAGAGAAAATCCCTTACTGCGCTTGACTAAATAATGTTTTGTTGAATAACTTTTAATGTTAATTTACAGTTTATTAAATTTCTGTAGCCTATTTAAAACACGTTCATAATTTAGAAAATGTAGTTAATACTTGCATCATTAATGATTTATTTTATCCACCCGCAACCCACCCGCAAATAATCAGAATGCATTTTTTTATTACCCGACCCACCCGATCCGCGGATTATCCGCAGCGCCCGCGGATATAACCGCCATCTGCGCATCACTAACTTGCACATACCATTCAGTGAGTTGTTACATATGTGTAGTTGCACAAACATTACAGCTGTAGCTACTATGTACCAATGTGTACACATCTAGTTATTATGTAAGTACACAGGTATTAGGGCCACTTAATATAAAATGGGACCAAAAAGTGCATACCGTCTAAACTAATATTTATAAATCAAATATAATTTCATAAATTGCATAAACAATATGAACAAAACAGCATTGTGTATTTATGCATAGATTAATACAAATAGCCAGAGCGCCGATCACACGATTGCATTTAAAAACATATGAGACGCAGTGGAATGGAATAAAAACCCCACAAATTCTCGAGACATGTTTTCTAAAAGTTGAACCTCTTTTAACTTTACATGGCTTTCTGTTCATCTCTTGTGCGAGACGCAAGTGCAACATCATAGTTGTGCGTCACAAAAATGCGCCGAATATGCATTCTGTGTGAATGGCTTGGTTCCCCTCTGGAGGCCCCTCAGGACAGGCTTAAACGGGATGGCAGGCCTCCAGAGCGGTACCCGTTCCGGGACACATGGCGGATCAGGCAGTTCAGGGAGCCATGGCAGAGCAGGCAGACTAGGGAGCCATGGTGGAGCAGGCAGCTGTATTTCCTCAACAGACAACGAAACTTTTAACAACTTTTTGGTTGTTAAAAAAGGTGCGCTTGTTCAAAACAGTTGCGTTCGATCCTTCGCTGGCTGTGCTGATTTAAAGGGGTCATATGATGCTTCTAAAAAGAACATTATGTTGTGTATTTGGTGTAATGAAATGTGTTTATGCGGTTTAAGGTTCAAAAAACACATTTTCGATCCTTCGCTGGCTGTGCTGATTTAAATCTAGCAGTTCTGTTGTGTTTGTGTCGCCAGTTCAGTGACGCAGGTAGTGACGATTCTCTCCGGCCAATCTGATCAGCAGAGTTTACACGTCACGTTTTGGTAACGGTACGGTTCACTTGGAACCTCAACCGAGGTGGTACTAAAAAAAGTACCAGGTACTGTACCCAGTGGAAAACCCCCCAAAAGTGAACCGTACCGTGCCGTACCATGCAGTGGAAAAGCGCCATTTGTTATCTTCAAACCAAGGGAACATGCACATATCACACGGGGATGACATTTAAGACAGGACTCAGGAAACACAGGGCTAATATACTCGGAACTAAACAAGGAGATTACTGGGACACAGCTGAAACAAATGGAACTTAATGGGAACAGGAACAGGAATACCAAATATTGGCAGGAAACACGGGAGAAACTAGGTCATGGAAGGCACATGGGGAGAAAAACACAAGACACAGGACTGACATACACAGTGGAAAACCCCCCAAAAGCGAGCCGTGCCGTGCCGAACTGTGCCGTACCATGCAGTGGAAAAGCGCCATTACGTCCTCACCGCATTTCGTGCGCCACTGATAAGGCTCCCTGACGCACACACCTAAAATTTAAATACACCGGTTTTGCATTCGAATGCAAATTTTTATTTTAAATTCGACTAATATTTCTTTATGAATCACAGTCTCCTCATTACAGTCAGGCACGGCACTCATTTCAGCATGTGTTTGTGTGTTCTGTTGGCTGTCTGCTTGTCACTCATAACACGCGCCTTTAAATGAAAAAGCGTGAAACTATCGTGCGATATATTGAACATTTTTTATATCGTGGGTATATCGTTTTATATATTGGGTCCGCTATGGTATGCATGACGTAAAAATCGTCATCGGAGAGTGTGCGCGGAGGCTCTGCGCGGACATCCAACCGCGGGACCCGACCGGATTTTTTGCGCCGTGGGATTAAATTCCCGAATAAATCGCGGTAGCAGTCGGTAACTCTGGTGTAATTTGAACGGGAGTGGGCAGTCTAACAATATCCCGTTCCCAATGTCCATTTAGAAGAGCATATCTGCGCTTTATTCTTATTGACCACCGGTACAGCTTGCGCTCAAGACTGTTATGCACACGCTGCACGCATGCTTTAAACGTCACACGTTTTATTTGCGTGGTCTGTGCTAGTGCTGGGCGGTATGACCAAAAATGTATATCATAGAGCGGCTATGCGGTTGTTTTGGCTATATTACTTTTTTGTCTCATGCAGTGCACTGCCCTTTTTTTAGTTAGTAACAAACTAAAAAAAACAACAAACAAAAAAGTGCATGTGATATTAACAGACGAACTACGCTCATATTTATAATTCCAAACAATCAGTAAGCGACAGGTGCTAGGAAACGCTGTTTTGTACTCATTTATTGACGAGTCGGCTGCGGTGCGGCCAACTGAATGCGCTGCTTCTCTGCCGCTCACTGCACAGAACAGACGCTGAGAGAGGTGACACTTCTCCGGGAAAGTCAGACCTCGCGTTCGCGGGACAGCACTGGCGAAATCTTCCAACTGAACCATAGCTAAGGTTTATCCAAAAAAGTCGCTATGTTTGTCAGTATGAATATTCTATGGAAAAAAGCCGCTAAAGGGGTCTGAAAGTTGCTAAATCTAGTGCTAAAGTCGTGCTCGTGTGTGTGTGTGAGAGACGCGGGAGCTGATGGCAGGGGGTGGTGAATATTTGTGGTAATGAACGCGATATTGCATAGCTTGTCAGTGAACTACGGTTCTGTGTAGTAAATGCCGCTCCATCTGAAAGCACGTGCTG